AACTGACAGATGAGTGGTGTGGTTCCGTGACCGGGAACCGAACCCCGGCCACTGAAGTGGGGAGAGCGCTGAACTTTAACCACTAGGCCAACAGGGCTGGCTCCTGCAGATTTTTTTTTATAGTAGAATGTAGTATACAATAGTATATAGTATACATAATAGTATATATAGTATCTATATATGCAATAATATATAGTATATATATTATATATAGAGAGAGAAAGAGAATATAGACTATATGGTACTGAAGATTTTACTAAACCTTCATTTTTTTCTAATTCATTACTGAAGAACCCTTGTTATTCCGCAGGATATGCTCATAGACCTTATAAAGGCTTTCGCAATTGTAGCACACAGTTGTGGCATGTACAACTGTGTGTGCCCAAATGTGTTGTGGATAGGGTATTGGTTATTCTTTCAAGACCAAATCCACAGTTTAAAATCTGAATTTTAGCATTTCTTTATTGCATCATGGGGCATTCTAGACTGAGTGCTAGCTCTTATTTAAGTCAATTGTTTTTCTTATCCTTGGAGAGGTGTATTCTTGAACCTTTTAAACTGGTTCCTGCTTTGGCCTAAGACTATTATCAGAAAACTTTTTTGAAGTTACTTATTGTATTCTGTACAATTAAAGTGATATGTCACATTCTCCCATCAAAGCATTTTAGCCAAAATGCCCAAGTATCTTAAATAGTCAACTCAATTGCATGTGGAGTTGAAACTTTTTTTTAAAGCCTGAATTTGCCCTTTTATTTATTTATTTTATTTTATTTATTTATTTATTTATTTTTTTGTGAGGAAGATCAGCCCTGAGCTAACATCCATGCTAATCCTCCTCTTTTTTTGCCGAGGGAGACCGGCTCTGAGCTAACATCTATTGCCAATCCTCCTCCTTCCCCCCCCACCCCCCAAAAGCCCCAGTAGACAGTTGTATGTCATAGCTGCATATCCTTCTAGTTGCTGTATGTGGGATGCGGCCTCCGCATGGCCGGAGAAGCGGTGCTTCGGTGCGCGCCCGGGATCCAAACCCTGGGCCGCCAGTAGCGGAGCATGCGCACTTAACCGCTAAGCCACAGGGCCGGCCCTAAATTTGCCCCTTTAAATATTTAGTCAGATAATATCCACAGGAACCTAACAGTTTATCCTGTTGGGTGTTGAATGATCACACACAAAATACCCAACACTGGTATCATTCAGCAGGAAACAGGTAGCACTCTCAAATAAGATAACTGATGAGAGTTTAAGAAAGGAACTATTTATAAATTTGTGACTGGATTACACCAGCAACGTTGGGAAAGTAGCCCTGGGATACTAACAGTATGAATATATCAATACTCCTGACCTGAAGTGTCAAGGAGAGAGAGCAGTTATCAAAATCCAGAGAGCTGCAGTGGTAGCTTTGGGAGAGCTGGCCCACAGAGCTATGAACTTCATAGAGGAAGGAAGCCACTGCCAACGCATGTTCTGGGAGGGGGTGGAGGGGATAATGCCCTGAACTCTTTTCTCTCATCCTGTTCTCTCTTGTAAGTGTCTCCCATCGGTCAAACCCAACCAGAAGCCAAAGGACAAGGAAGCCCATTGGATACAGTCCATTAGAGGTCTGCCTCCTGGGCCACAGACCCATGGGATAAAGGTGGAGGGCAGATCTGGAGGGGCAAACAGAGGGTGCATGGCATTAGTGAATATTCCCCGTGAGCAGACTTACACATCGTGTTTCTTGGCTTTGCTCCCATTTCCCGGAAATGCCTATCAGGGAGAAGGAATGATGATACGTAGTGGAGTTCCTTGTCTGTCTGGAAAAATGAATCAGAAACTTCTGGCTAAAATGATCAACTCTTCCCTTTTCTGCTTATTCTCATGCCCATGTATCTTAGAAAGTAGAGCAGCAGCTTCTATGTGACATCAGAACACAGCAAACACCTGGAAATGAGAGTCTCCTTTGAGAAACACCTGAAACAATGATATATTTAATTGAATCACATCAACTAAAAATGATTTTACTAGCTAAAAATATGATATTAGAATATGCAGTGTAAAAATCACAAGTACAGATATCCTTATATAATTAGCTATTTCTAATTATATTTGTACTTTGTTCATTTTATCTATAAGACCAGTGACTGCTGAAGTTTTAGGTAAAATATATGAGGAGAAAATTATGAATTTTTAAAAGACTATCATTATCCTGTTTTCTCAGCAGGACACAATATTCTGCAGGAGAATAATTGGAGAGTTCACAGAATAGAGGAAAAAGTCACATTCTAATCTAAACTCTAAGGAGAGAGGCAGAGCAAAGCAAAATCTCTCTCACGTACACACACACATGCGCGTGCACACACACATGGTTGATTAAAGCATATGCAGTGAAACCTTAATTTACTGGATCCCTCAATAAAATGTGTCACAGCCATCAAAGATGGGTCGATTTAGGTTGATATAAGGGATTTCATTTTAAAAAGCAATGTCTAAGAAAGTTTCTTTGTAGAATTGGATATTGATCTCAACTTCCTAACACCTCACTTCTGCTTTATAACCAGTATTGACCTTCCAAATAATGATCCAGAAGCCCTACAATTCCCAAATCATCCATAGAATAGCACATCACATTCATCAGACTACATTTATCAATGTAGAGAAGTGGTGTCATTGTCACATGTGTCTGCAATTTGAACCCCCTGTAAATATAGTACACAATCCATAAGTCATTATGGATTAGAAGCCTCAGACTAGAAAAAATATAAATATTACATGGGGAGGGGGGTTCCTAGCTAGAAGGGGCACAGGGAGAGCTTCTGGGGTGCTAGCAGGAGACATGAGGAAGGCCTTGGGGTCTCTGGCCATGTTCTGTTTCTTGATTAGTATGAGAGTAAAATGGGCATATTCCATTTGTGAAAATTTAGCAGGCTGTAGAGTTATGATGTGTGGTTTTCTTTACATACGTTATACTTCAGTCAAAAGTTATATATCTAAAAAAAGTTAGATCTACACACATATGGGGGGTGTGTGTGTACGTGTGTGTATGTACTAATCACTCATCCTAGTACTCTTATACTTAGCAGAGAATGTGGTTACCCTCTTGTCCAGATAGTTCTGACTTCTCTCCTGGTCATAGGAGATAGCAGAGTGAACAGCTTAGAATCAAACACATAGACATTAAGAAAAGAAGATAAATATTAATGAATATTAGGGTTTAATAATCTGGGACATTTAGATTAATGGCCTAGAAAGTAGAGTTTGATAATTGAGGCTCTTAGTGGTGATTTCATGTCCTCAAGGGCAATTAAATTATGTAACTAAGGCTGGAGAAATTTTAGAAACCTTCCACCAAGATCGGTGAAAGTAAACGATTCGCTGTGTAAAAGTGAACTTATTGTAAAATTAAGTTACCCCAACAGTGCTGAAAACACAGGTATTATTGTACTGCCTTTTAGGGAGGTTCTTTTGGTTAAGCTGTACTTAATCAGGAATTCCATTTAAACAAGTCACCACATTCCCAAGTCATTCCATATGATCGAAGTTTCACTGTAAGCAAAATCACCTACAAAGTGGATTTTGACTGTAAAGAAACATTACACATAAATTGCTCGCAAATGCAGAAATAGTTAGTGTGATCAGAGCCAGGTAAGCTAAACTAATAGAAGGTTACAGCTGGAGGAAACATCAGGTACCATCCAATTCAATCCCCACGCTTTACAGTGGAGGAAATTTAGGATCAGAGAGGTTAAACTGACTTCCCAAAGATACATAACTAACATATGGCTAATTTGCAACCAGAACTGAAGTATCCCCATTTGCTGATCTGTCCACCTTCACTCAGCCTAGTTCTCCAGAGCAGAAGTGTAGAGTCAAGCTGACTTGGGTTTGGATTGGTTTCATTCTTGGATTTGCTAGTTGGGTGTGACCCTGGGCCCCAGTGACAGGTCCTGTCCTATGAAAAAAATATTGCCTGGGTATTAATTCAGAGGTACAGACACTAAGGTGCTGCACGGCACGTATCCTGAGAAGGTAACTCCCTAAACAGAACTGAGGCAGGAGGAGAACGGGAAGGTTCATTAACCTCTCTCTATAGTAAGGAGACTGAGAAGAGGGAAGGCCTCCACAGTGGGGACCTTCCTGAGGGTTTTGGCCTTCTCAGCCTCTGGGCCTGAACGCCCAGTGGAATTGTGCTTCATTCTGCCTGTAGGAGTGCCCTTCACCCTTGCGACCTGCAGGGATGATTGGTGTGGTATTTGGATGTTAGATTTGCCTTCTTTTAATGGCAAGTCTAAACATGCTGAGCATGGTTTGTACTCCCAAGTGTCATTGAGTTCTGGAGCCTAATTGTGGGTTTTGTTTAATGCTGTTTGCACCTGACTGAGTAGACACCTGCCATCTATGGTGCTAGTAATAGGACTCGCCTCAAAAGGCTGTTATGAGAATGAAGAGAGATAATATATAAAAGTGAGTAGTAAAATGCTTGGCACACATTAGCCACTTAACGAAAGTTGCATACAACTATTGTTATTCAGCTACAGCACAACAATGGATTTGACATTGATGTTGTCCAAGAACCTTGACCATTATTTGACTTAGACAAGTTTCTCTTTACAGAGTATATTACTTAAAAATAATGGCTTTGTGAAAGCACTAGACAACAGAAAAAGTTGATGAAGTACTTATAATTTAGGAATTGAATCTAGTAGGGACTCTGACTATTGTTTCTTAAGGAGACAAATAATGTAGTTGAATCTTATTTTTTTCAAGCCTGCTGTTTAGGTTGGAAGACCTAAGATCTAGCTCCTGCTCTGTTACTTAATGAAAAGTGTCAATGAACAGATTATCAGACTGCTTTGAGCCTCAGTTTCCTCATCTTTAAAATGAGGTTGATAATAACACCTACTCGCTGGGTGGTTGTAGAGCTCAAGTGAGACAAAGTCAGCGTACATGAAGAGGCAAAAAGAGATGTCAGAGATGAACTCTAAAGAGGAAATCTTAAGGAGGTTGTGTTATCTCTTTTCCAGTTTTCATCTTGCTGCTACAAAAGGACACGTGGAATGCCTCAGGGTCATGGTTACACATGGCGTGGATGTGACAGCCCAAGATACTGCCGGTATGTGGTCTTCATTTCTTAAGTCAACAGGCCGGCACAGGAGTAGGTGTCACAAAGGTGATGCATATTCATTGTGGAAAATTTACAATCTACAGATAAGCCAAAAGAAGAGCATAGCATCACCTCCAATGACTAGGCTCTGACATGGTTTCATCATTTGTGCCTTTAGAAGTATGTTTTCATCTTACATGTGGTTAGTCAACTGGTGACTATACACTTCTTATTCCCCTTTTTTAAAATACTATTTTCTGAGATTGTGTGTATGGACCAGGCAGTATTCCCTGATTTTTGTTTTTATGAATTGTATGAATGGCATGATGTGGTAAATGGAGTGAGTTGTTTAGGAGCTCACTTTGTCAGCTAGCTGAGATGAGCTCTGTAGACAGAAGCCATGATCCTCATCTGGACCAGTTGCCATGGTTCTCACCCCTTACAGTGTTTCAGTGTATCCAAATTACCTGGGAACTGGAAGGGAGGAAAAAGGGAAAGGAAAAGGGAGAAAGAAGGGGAAAAAAGAATAAACAGTCTACACACACACACACACACACACACACACACACACATACACATACACACATATGTACTCAGTCTCTATGCTCTGAGATTCAGATTCCATTGTGTGCAGGTTGCCAGTCAACTAGTGTTTTTATAAAGCTTCCCAGGTGGTTCTTCTTTCTTTTTTCTTTTTTTCGTGAGGAAGATTAGCTCTGAGCTAATGCCCGTCGCCGATCCTCCTCTTTTTGCTGAGGAAGACTGGCCCTGGGCTAACATCCGTGCCCATCTTCCTCCACTTTATATGGGACGCCGCCACAACATGACTTGACAAGCGGTGCGTTGGTGCGCACCCGGGATTTGAACCCGTCAACCCCAGGCCGCCACAGCAGAGCGCGAACCACTATGCCACGAGGCGGCCCTCCCAGGTGGTTCTTATGTAAAGCCAGTCTTGACAAATGATGAACAAGGCAAATGGAGAGAAAAGGTAGTGTAATTTCATCTTTTATGAGCATTGTTCTATGGGAAGAAGCCCCTAGGATCTCCAGCCTCGGATTCTCCTCCTGCCAGCCACACCAAAGGACCAAAGCAACTACTGATGGCTTTTCATTTCTCTAGTGCACCTGAAAATCTTTGCCTTGGAACAGGCTTTTGTTAGTTTTTACTAGAATATGAAATCAGTCTAACTCTGTGGTCTTTATCTAGGCTTTTCATTAATCCATAACGGTCCCTTTCCCTCCCCGCTAAAACACTGGCCTCCTCAGAGTAGTTATTTTGGGGCATGGTGGCGCGGTGGGGCGGGGGGGGGACGTCAATCACTTATTGCAAGAATGCTGTTCTTACTCAAAATATCATTGGAAAACTTGTGCTTCAGAATTGTTTTCAAAAAGTCTGTAGCACCTTTTTTTTTTTTTAATTTAAATATTCTCAGTGGTTGGGAATCGTTCTTCTTTGAGAATATTTGTTTTTTTAGGAAAGGCCAAGAGTTACTTGAAGTCAAGTCAGGTAAATGAGGCGTCAAACTGGTAGAACCATTTTTGGTTAAAAATAAAGAATGATTAAAGTAACAGAAATATTTTCTTGAGCAGTGCCACAGAGAGCTCCAAAAATATTTTGAGAAATGGCAATACCAGTAGAAGAATGAATGGTTTCCCTTAGTGACTACCTTGAGAGAAATATTAATTTATGTTGCACTAAAGTCATTTTTAATCCCAAGACCCAGTTATTTTGTTTGTTTTTAAAGTTTATTGTTACTGCTTTTAAAGTCATGCCACATACACATAGAGCAGTATAGTTGGCTATAGTACCCTTGATGAGATGTGTGTCCTCTTAAGTGGACAGAATTTCCTCTCTAAGAAAATCATAATCTAAAGAATTAGCTTAGAGTGAATAAATTGGAGTCATATAGTTTTGTTTCACTGCACTTGATGTTAAGAAACAGATCTTAGACAGGAGTCTAGTTATTTCCATCATAACCAAGCATCTTCTCTCCCCTATCATTTTACTATAGGGAAAAATATGTTTCTCTAATACATGCTCATTGTAGAAAATTTGGGAAATACGGAAAACTATAAAGAAGATAACCAATGCTTTTACTCCTACCAAGAAAAAAAATTTTACTATTTTGCTGTATTTCCTTCTAGATTTTCCCTGGCACATTTTTTCATAGGTGAAATTGCATTATATAATAAATTCTACATCCTGCTTTTTTGAAAAAAAAAAAAAATATTCCACCAGTATCATCTCCCACACTAAAAGCTCTTAAGCAGTGTAGTTTTTGTGGCCATATAACACCATGTGGGTAGAGTTTGTGTTTACTACTGGAGCCCTAATTCAGTTTTGAAGAGCCTGCTGAAGTGTAGAGCAATGGGACCTGGACATCCCAGCACAGTGCCCAGTTCCTTGCCAGCTGAGATGCCACGGCCCTCCAAGAAGCAACACTGGAGGGGACACTACACACCCATCCTGGATGCTTCTCTGGGCCGGTCAGTGGGAACTGCCACAGTCCATTTTTTTCAACTCTGATTGAAATTGGTGGAATCCACAGAATTTTATGGCCCCAGAACATTGTGCAGACATTCCATGAGTCGAAAATATCTCAGAGCTGCCAGTCACTTCCCTCTCACCTAACATTTTTAGCAATGAGGTCAATGCTTCGGTCTTTGGGCTTTTTGTTTTACTTTGGTCTGACTGAGGCACAGATTTCTCTTGATTTCTTGAAAACATGCAAAGAGAACACAGGAACAAGAGAAGGAAAAAGCTGCCTGGAGATGTCTGTTGTGTTATCTGGAACAACACTTCTCAAACTCTTTTCTGTCACAACAAACAAGATAAATGTGATGGCTTTTATTGCCCTTGCCTGTGTCCTTCCTGTTGGCTGTATCACCCACCCCTTATCTCTCCGTCTCAAGAAAGCATATCAGAATCCGGAGGAAGGACAAGGACATTAGTCACCATGCCTTGGTAGGCATCATTAGTCCAGAACACTTTTTATGGTGGTTAAGGGATAAATTAAATGGCTCAGCTCTTTCAGGTGGTGTCTCTTCAATAAACCTACCTTAAGAATTACCACATTATTACGGAGATACAGTCATCTTCAATCCCAACACCCTCTGAGAACTGGTCCAAAAATCTGTTACCATAAATCATACTGCCCTGTAGGGTTTCTGAAAAAACTTGCTTTCAAAATGTATTACACTGACACTTTTCATTCCTTTTATCCACAAAGTACAGGATAGTCGAACTGGTACAATTTCCTACCTTTTAAACTGGTGACAGGCTTTAAGTTATAGAAGCAAGGCATTTTTAGCATCTATTTTTTAGCAATTATCCTTCCACCTGAAATGCTTGGAAGTCTGACCAGAGAATTTTTATGGATGCTTTACAATCTTATGAGCAAAGCACTGTCAGAGATAAGGCCTCGGGTATAGTTACAATACACCATCAATAATCATATCATTTTAGCTGGCCTTCGAGGCGTAGATGAGATGACAGTGTGGGCACATTAGCAGTACCCAGCACACAGTGAGTGCTCACTGCATTTGGTTCCTATATTATCATGATTATTGCTACTTTACCCAGATCACCATTATGCTCTTTTACATGAGGCTTTTGAAAAGTTTTCACGTCTTTCAAGGAAAAAAAAAAAGATTTGACAATCACCAAGCCAACTGCTCTCATTGTACAAATGAGAAAAAGAAAACTCAAAGACTAGCAGAAGCTCGTGACTTATGTTTTTGGTTTTGGAATTTTTTTTCCCTCCATTTCATAATTGCCTGTTCACCAAACAGCGCCGCAGGCACTTAGCAATCAGCTGGGAAAGTCGGCTCCTAGGCTCACCACGCGATCTCTGAACTGCACCTACATATTTGTCCAGCCCCTTTCATTACTTTGTCTGCTCTTGTTCTTCACTGATGTAAGAATTGGCATTTGTCTATTTCCTAAGAAAACACTTCTCCTGGATAAATAGTAACGTTGACTCCTTGGATGACTGCATTTAGCACCCTGGAGTTGTGAGATAGGATTAAACAGAAGCATTAACAGAAGATTATTTGTTATCAACGCTTCTCTGAAGCATTAGCTTTCAGACTGCCTGTATTAGCAAGTGTATACATTTGACGCAATGTGACAAGATGGCTTAACCAAGATAGATTTTTCTCTCTCTCAGTTCAAAGTCCCAGACTGGTATGGGAGCTTGGCTCCACATCATGAGGGACCTGGAATCCTCCTGTTGCCCCACCATCCAGGATGTTACGATGGTCCTGATGGCCCGGGATGGCTCCCCCTGGGTCTGCATCCCAGGAAGGGCGAGCATAGCCCACAAGGGGCACACAGTCAGATCTCATTGGACAGATCTCATGTGGCCACACTGGGCTTTATGGGAAGCTGGGAAATTCTGGGCAGCAATTTGTCCAGTTAAAAATAGAGAAGGTTTTGCTTTAGAAAGATGTAGAAACAGAGATTGGAGGATGATGTGCAGTTTCTGTTACACTTCCATATCTTAAATTTTCTCTAGGCCCTTTGCACATTTGACTTTCATAATAAAACTTTTTTTCTTTTCATAGAAGAGAGACTTAGGAGAGTGGGAGGTGAGGTATGGAAATATCATAAAGCACAGAGTCCTCAGAATGGGGAAACTTGAGAACGCTTACTCTTCTCTAGGGTCTCCAGGTGCTGGTTAGCTTTTGTTTTGATTTCTGGGTGGCCTTCCATTCCATTATGCCCATAATCCCCTCAAATCTGCTACCATGTGAAGACAAAAAGGTGATATTCATCTTAAAACTCAGGTACTTTAGAGAATGGGTCATTTAAAATGTAACTGCAAATTATAGCCCATAAGTGTATTTCATATTTTAATTTCAAATAAAGGAAAACCAAAAACAATTGTATGATTTGTAGTTCTTTACTTGCTGTTAACTCATATGTATGGGAGGTCAGAGGGCCAACCATATACAATGATCAGCATAACTTGTCCATGAAAATGTTTCAAATGATACATGTACACATGTAAAAAAATCTTTTGATTCTATATAAAACACTATGCAAGTCTGTATTGGGGAGACTAAGAGAGAATTTCATAACTATTTAATAGTAAGAATGATTATTATAAATAAATCTTTTATATTCTGATCTTCTCTCTCCTAGAAATATAACAAGATGAATGGACTTATGCTTCAGGGATAAAAATTTGATGTAAAGTTGAGTATTGCTGGGCTAGCCCCAGTGGCCTAGTGGTTAAGTTTGGCACACTCTGCTTTGGTGGCCCAGGTTCAGTTCCCGGGGGCAGACCTACACCACTAGTCTGTCACTGGCCATGGTGTGGTGGCAGCTTACATACAAAAGAGGAAGATTGGCAGTAGATATTAGCTCAGAGCAAGTCTTCCTCAGCAAAAAAAAAAAAAAAAAAGAGGATTTCTAAGAATAATGTTGTTTAAATATATTTAAAATTGTAAATAAGAGCCAAATAAATTAATACTTCTATTGTTTAAATATATTCAGCATTCTGAAACTCTGGTTTTTAAGAAAATATTTTAAACCTTCTTCTCTAATTGAGTATCATTTCATTCTCTTTGTTTTTCTAAATGTTTTTTGTATTATGATCTGAAACTATGATTTCTCAAACTTTGTCCTTTTGGTATTTGTTAGCCATATCTTTGTATCCTATGACTTCATTGGTTTTAAAATTTTTCACATGCACTTGAAGAGTATGTTTTCAGTCCCATCAATAATTCCTCTATTATATTAGTTAATTCTTCTCTGTTTTTTCCAGTGATCTTAAATATAAATGGTTATTGCCTGAGGTAGTTTGGGGAAAGTGCTCTGTCGCTAGACTAGCTTAGACTTCTTAGTCTCTTTTTCAATAATAGGATTCTTAACCCACCTGTACTAGCCCCGACTCTTGACTTATAAATAGCACTGGTCTTTTTACTTACAGGCAGAATTCTGCTGGAATCCACTTGAATTTAGGGTTGCCCTGTTCCTTGCCTGTAGGGAAATTGCTTCCTGATATTCCAGACAGATCCACAGCGGAATAGGGACCAGACTTATGCAGTGTCTCGTTACAGTGACGTTCTGTCACTACTATGATATATTCTCTCCAGGAAATTTTGCATTTGGAAAGAGAATTGTGTTTTAATGGTTGTGGTGAGAGACATCTCACTTCAGGGTAATGTTGTGCAGGGAATGATGCATCATTTGGATTTTGAGACTATTTTAAGTTAAAAATACTTTTGTGCTCCTGATTAGGAAAACACATCAGAGAGCCAGGGAATAAAAGAATTTTGTTTCTCTAGAAACACAGTACTTACTTCCAGGTATGACTAGAACCCTTGGAGTGAAATGAAAGTCTGTTATTTATTTTATGATGAGTTGTTTAAATCTCCCTACCGTCTTGTCTTTGGAGAACTGTGCCTTTTTCCAGTGGGCACTGTTTATGTAGAATAGCTTTGGTCCACGGCATAGACAGAAGTTAATGCATCGCATACACAACATAAACAGTCTTCTACTTGCAATCAGGATAGGTTCCAAAAGTTCATCAGTAAGGCATTTGTTTAAAACTTAGAATGTGCTTGTCCTCGGAAACACTAGTATAAGTGATGGTTGGGGGCCAGGCTAACCCACCAACGCCTATTTCATGCGTGATGTAACTGAACTCACACTATTATACATTATATATCCCGAAAGGAAGGTTCTTATGTGATAAGGAGGAAGGGAAAGAGAAGATCTTTGTCTTCCTACTTCCACGAGTCTCATTTTCCTCATTTCCTGATCTTCCTCATCTGTTTGGGAGAGGGTGGCGAGATTCCTGCCTCTCAGTGTTCCAGCACCACTAAACAACTCCCCCTGAGCATAGCCTTAAAATCTCTCAGTGCAGCCGATCTCAGAAAAGAAAGAATCTGATCTTTTGGCCTCACACATGCTTTTGTGCAGCTCACTGTAGTCCTAAAATCCTCTAATTTTTAAATACGGTATTTCCTAGTCATCTGATTCTCTAATACTTACTGGATTTCTGGTCAGTGTTACAGAGGGAAGACTAATTCAGAAAAGAGAAATGGTATTTGGAGACTGGGCCACCATATAAAAGAAATTGTTCCTCTAAGTCAGTGGTTCTCAACCAGGGGTGATTTTGCCCCTCAGGGGATATTTGGCAATGTCTGGAGACATTTCTGATTGTCCCTACTAGACATCTACTGGGTAGAGCCCATAGATGCTGCTTAACATCCTACAGTGCATAGCACAACCCCCCACAGCTTAAAATGTCAGTAGTGCTGAGGCTGAGAAACCAAGCTTTAAGCATATTCCAAAGCATGGATTGTTTACAAGTGTTACGTTGGGGGTATCTTGGTTAAATACTTTGGGAAACACAGGATTTAAGAGTTTACTAGGTGTATTGGGTTGGCTGGCAACGGTAACTTTGGTTCCCTCCCCCAAACACCCTCCCCAAACATTTGTAATAAACATATGCTCTAATTCAAACGGACAAGTATATACTGAGAGCGTACTGTGTGCCAGCAGTGTTGCGGACACTAGGGATACAGCAGGGAATAAGACAAAAATTCCTGTCCTTACCGAGTTTATACTTTGGTGGGGAAAGAAGAACAATTAACTACATAAGTAAGTGTGTGTGTGTGTGTGTGTGTGTGTGTGGAGAGAGAGAGAGAAGGAGAGGTGGGAAGGGTATGTTGGAAGGTGCTCTGTGCTATGAAGAACAAAGAATGAAGCAGGGAGTAGGGATAAAAAGGGTCGAGGGGGAATGGGAATTTTCAATGGGAGGTCAGGAAAGGCCTTGTGCAGAAGGCAGAATTTCAGGGCCGGCCCCGTGGCTTAGCGGTTAAGTGCGCGCGCTCCGCTGCTGGCGGCCCAGGTTCGGATCCCGGGCGTGCACCAACGCACCACTTCTCCGGCCATGCTGAGGCAGTGTCCCACATACAGCAACTAGAAGGATGTGCAGCTATGACATACAACTATCTACTGGGGCTTTGGGGGAAGAAAAAATAAATAAATAAAATTAAAAAAAAGAAGGCAGCATTTCAGCGGCAGCATCAGGGGAGGAGAGAGAGTAAGCTGGCAGGTTTTGAGGAAGAGAATCCAGGCTAAGCAAAGAGCAATTTGTAAAGACCCCAGGATGGGAGCCTGCTGCTCTGGTAGCCATACCAAGGCTGCCCCTCAGCCCCTCTCCCACAGAAATTCTATAGGCCCATTAGGCGGGAGGAGTTGGGTATAGCATTAGGATTTCCTCAAGTTATCTGACCCCAGAAACATTAGAGAGCCTCACGTTGGAGTCTGGAGTTGTGTTCTATGAAGGGAATGTAAAGAAATGCTACTTTAATAGTGTGTTGTCGTTTTTATAACTCTTTTCCTTCTTCTCCATAAGAACTTGGACTATCTGAGAACTCCAGGTAATCTCCATTCGGGGCTGGAGTGCCTTTGGAGGAGAGAGGAAGGAGAGATCATGAGGGGGGACTGAAGTGTGCGGGTGTTGGGTGTGTTTTCTCTCTGCTGGCTTGCAGGCTGCCTTGTTGGGCTCCTAGGCGTGTGGTAGTTGTAGCCTGGTGTGACTGTTGTGGACACAGGGCATTTGGCATCCATATTGACAGCTTTCAAGCTGCATGTCATGAGTCCACTGTGAGCTTCTAGCCCGGAGCTTAATTGCACCCCAAGAGGACGGCAGGTGGAGCGGACCCTGAATGTTATCCAGTAGGCAGGATGCTCTCTGTTCTCCCTACTTTTGTCACAGTGAATTTACAGATAAGAAGTTGAGGCCTTACTCTCAAGAATAACAATTCCGTCTTTGTTGGAGAACAATTTATTTCCTCATAGTTGTCTTCATTACAGAGATAAGAAAGATTTAAAATGTGTGGCCTCTTTTTCCAATTTTTTTTTAAACCCATTTAGGACACAGTGCTTTGCATCTCGCAGCCAAGAACAGCCACCATGAATGCATCAAGAAGCTCCTTCAGGTAAAATGGCAACAACTTAAAATTACGTGTCACTTTTAAAATTTAAAAGTAACCTTATCTGTGAAAGGACAAATACACACACACACACTCCTTTAAACACTGTCTCAGAACCTGGCTTTTCTATGAAGCGCTTCATTATTGAAACGATAGCCAAGGAGAAGGTTATTTCCATAGCAATTGCACTGGTAGGGAAGAGAATCCTAGTCAGAATCTGGAGTATCTTCCAGGGATCCAATCTTTTTCTCCCCTTTCTTCAGCTCTTTTTCTTTTCTGAAGGACTTGGGCCCTTCAAATAGTTTTTAAAAAATTTTTTCCATGCTGTTGGAGATCCTTACAATGTAGGATCTCCAATATCCTGGTATTCTTTCAATCATTAGTAGAACACAACTCTTCTTGAGAAGCAGAATTTCGAGCATTATTTCCTTGAATGTAACTTGATGAGCTTTTAGTTGTTAGTTTTTAAGTTCTTGGTTTTATGCTTCTTTATAATTTTAAGTCAACGCCCAGGTTTGATAACCTTGCCAGGAAGTTTATAATGATTGCTTAGAGCGACAACTTCCATTAGTCTTTAAAGATGAATATTGAATGAAATCCCCATAGCAGTCCCTACGGTAACATCCAGCTGTTGCCAGTCAAAATGCAAGATGGCTATTTGCAGGAACAGCAGAGAGCAATAAAACATGTGTTTGGAGTACTGTCTGTTCTGTTGAGCTGTTGTCTCAGCCTTCAGAGCACTGGCTGCGACCCGGCATCTTGCTTTCATTTGGCTTTGCAATTGTAATGCAGAAATGGGGTCACATTCTTCAACTTGTCCTGCTCTGTCGATCACACGGCTTCTTGTCTTGCATTACGTGATGCAAGCTCCCGCCAATGCGAGGAATGCTTAACCTTAACAGGTCTGAAGCAAAATTCAAGAAAAATAGATCAACATCTGTGATGATGATGATGATTTTTATTATGAGGCTTCTTCCTGAAACCAGTTAAAATAGAACTTGCCTTATGTGCCTCCTCTGGGACTGGGCACTCTGGATAACTGACAGTCATTGACCTGCCGAAGTGCCCTGCCTCCACGCCCTTGGTCTTACCTCAATTTTTTTAACTTAGTTGTGTTTTAAATCTCCATTCCCATCCTGGCTTGGCTATCCAGACTTTGCATCTGGCTCTGATTTTAAGGAAGAATGAACTTGACAAGCTGGAAATCCTCACGGGCAAGGACCAGATATTCTAGCCTCTAATGTAATTTTATATCTGGTTATGCAAATGGATTGTTTTTCCTCTGGAATCTTTGAAGCCTTTAAACAGTTCCTTGTGCTGTTCTAAAATTAGGCCAAAGCATGGTAAGTCGTAACTTGCTCTCCATTCTTCTCACCACTGAAGGGCAGGCAGACGTTTCACTCTAACATTGCCTGTTCTTGCCTACCCTCACTTGCAAATTGTCTGAATGCTGTTCTTCTTTCTGGATAGTTGTAAAACCTGAGGCTTTGATGCCCTCCTAATGGGTTGCTTTCCTTGGGTCTTGCCTCTCTCTCATCAATTCTTCACCTCTCGTCTTGGCAACCCGTGCCCTCTGTGATGACCCCTGTTATCTGCTGCCCTGCTCTCCGCTGGACTCTCTGCATATTCTCTGCTCTCTGGCCTCTCTAGGCCTTTGCTCTTACTATCTGTCTGCAGGAGATACTTCTCAAAGTTCTGCCTCCTCAAGGCAGTGAGCACAGAGCCTTGTGAGATCCTTCAAATTCAAATTCGAATGAACTCTCTCCCTCCCCTGACAGCCTGCTATTTCTCTCACTCTTTCTTCTAGCAAATGTTCCCTGGGCATGTGCAGTGTATCAGGAATTGAGTATATACTTACAAACTGAGCAGCCCCTATCCTGGTGGAGCTTGCAGTCTGGTAAACAAGTATACAAATGCACATTACAAATTGCACAACACTAAGAAGAAACCAACAGGGTACCGCGAGAGAGGAGGGAGGAGTGGATGTTCAGGGAAGGTCCGTGGAGGAGGTGATATTTAAGCTGAGAACTCAACAATGCAAACAGCCAAGGGGAAAACATTCCAAGCAGACAGAACAGCAAGTACAAAAGGCCTAAGGTGGGAAAGGCACTAGTCAGGGAGGAAAGAAAGGCAGTGAGTGGGCCTGAGGCAAAGAGTGAGGAGGAGAGAGAAGGGTATAGGGTGCAGGCCTCATGCGTCATGATGGGCAGCCTGTAATTCATCTACATACAGTGTAGAAGTGCGAAGAGCTTGTAAGTAAACAGTGACATTCATAGTCTTAAAAGCTCACTCTAGTTGTACAGAGAATTGATTAAAGGGGGGAAAAAGCAGAACTGTGGAGATGCACCAGGAGGCTGTCATAGCTGTCTAGGTGAGAAGATTGTGGCTTAGACTAGGTCGTGGTAATGGAGAGACAGAAGAGAGTAGATCTGGGCTGTGTTTGGAGACAGAATTGCTAGGACATGGTGGTAAATTAGATGTGGGAGGAGGAGGAGGAGAAGAAATCAAAGATGACTGACTCAGTGGTTTCTGGCTCATTGGCTAGATTGATGTGGTGCCGTTGACAGAGACAGGGAAGTGTCAGGGAGGATCAGGCTGGGCGTCGGGGAGGGGAAGCAGTTCTGCCTGTGCTATGTCTGAGGTGCTTGTGAGACATCAGAACGGAAAATGTGAAGTAGGCAGTGGGTTGTCAAGCCTGGTGCTCAGAGATAACCTCTGTTGTGTACAGATAAGAACACAGGCTCTAGCTCGGCCTGTCAGGGTTCAAATCCTGGCTCTGCCACTTACTGTGACCTGAGCAAATTATTAACTTTGTTGTACCTCAGTTTTCTCATCTCTGATTTTCAGTGGGGCTAAATAATAGTATCTAACTGGGGTTGTTAGGAGCCTTAAAACAATTCTTTGAACACTGCCTGGCACATCATAGTTAATACTTACACAATATTATTGTTGTTATTGTTAAGATATAAATGTGGGAGTCATTAGCTTCTGGGTGGTATTTCAAGCTAGGGGTGTAGGTGAGATTACTGAGGAAGAGAGCTTAGAGAGACAGCACTGAGGAACCCTAAGGTTTTATGTTTTATGAGGAGGAGTGGCCAGAGCAGTGGGAGGAAAACCAGGATAGGAGGGGCCAGGCAGAGCTCTGGGAGCTGAGGATGGGGTAGTGGAAAAGGGGGAGTGGGTTACAGATGAGAGGTTGGTAAGGGGAGGACAAAAATATTCATTGTCTTTGGAAACATGAAGCTTGGTGACTTTGATTAAGTCCATCTCCATGGAGTCTTGAGGGCAGACACCCAACTGCAATGGGTTCAGGAATGAATGGGAGGTGGGGAAGCATGGACTGTGTGTGGGCAGTTCTTAACAGAAAGTTGGTTTTGTGAAAAGGGAGAATTCAAGGTGGAATCGAAATGAGAAATCCTAGAGCACATTTGTTAGCTGATGGGGATGATATGGTGGCAATGTAGTGACGATGTAAGGGAGAGGAGGGACAGTCGAAGCAGCAAAAGGTGACAGTTTGCCTGTGTCATGATTACTTGGAGATGTGTCTCCCTCCCCATAAGGGACTGTAGGCCCCCGGAGCGTGGTAACTGGGGCTTATTCATGTTTACACTTTTCCTAATAAGTTGTATCATACCTTGCAGGAAAAAGATGAACTGAATTTTATTACATATATTTGTTTATTTTTGTCTTATAGTCTAAATGCCCAGCTGAAAGTATTGACAGCTCTGGGAAAACAGCTTTACATTATGCAGGTAACTTTCATTCTTATATTTGTCTTTTTCTGCTATAAGAAATACTGACTTCATTTTCCGTATTCAAGCCACTAACCTTACCGTGTTACCCCTGCTGCTGTTTTCTGTCATCATTCTTACACATCCTCATTTTACTCAGTTTGCAAAGCGTGTAGAGTTTTACCAAGAAATACGTCTAGGATTCATCAGTTGCCCACCAAACAACCAGTAAAAATTGTCATGGTTATTATGTTTTAATTAATTTAAGGTTCTTGTTTAAGAGATATTCATAAGCATTTGTAGATTTCAGGTAATGTGTGGTACAGATTTTTCGATTTGGGATCATAAAGAACATCAATTTTATTTATCGACGTTTTGTTTTACTATCTGTCACACAGCTTCAAGTGACGAAACGTTGACACTGAACTCTGGGATGATTAGATTTATGAATTGCTTTTGGCCCTGGTTGTGGAGAAGCTAAGTTCTACGAAAAGCTGAATCAAATGTTTGCCTAAAGGAACTGGCAGTCGCTGGTTTTAGATCTGGATAATTCTGAAATTAAACAGTAATTTAAAATTCCTCTTTCTTAAGCTTCCTGACGCAATTTCTCTTCAATGCAGCTAGAGTGCATGCATGCAAACTGGGTAGAACATGACCTTTTCCTTCCTAGAAGTGTTTGATGCCCCTGTTGTGAGAGTAGCTTTCTGATAAGCTGTGGTGGTGTGTTTTCCTCCCCGCAGCGGCGCAGGGCTGCCTTCAAGCTGTGCAGGTTCTTTGTGAGCACAAAAGCCCCATAAACCTCAAGGATTTGGTAAGTACCAAGCAGCCACTAGAAATGGGGATGGACACTGGTTTATAGAGCACTGTGGGCTACTTCTGAGAGTCGCTAAGACTATAGAGACCTAAGTATGTGGCAAAATTCTACTCCTTTTCAACCTAGATCCTTTTCTGCAAAATAGACTTAAGGAGTATTTGTCATTGGTCCCTAAATCATTAATAAAACATTTTGCAGCATGCACTTCCTATATATGTATATTTGTATCTAAGGATAGATATGTGGTCTACTATCAACATAAATATTAATAAGGCTTAATTTCTTGATTTTTTTAAATAGTTTATTTTTATTTATTTATTTATTTATTTATTTATTTATTTATTTATTTATTTATTTTTGTGAGGAAGATCAG